GCTTTTTGCGTGTGGCTCGATACACGAACAACTTGTCTGCGATCCAGTGTTGTGCGACGTGACCAGCTGCATTTGTGCCAAATATAATGACCGGTGCAGTTGCATACGATTAGTCAATAGAGCCGCGCCTGCCGGTGTGTGCAGCCAGGACTCCAGAACTGAGTGAAGCAATGGCTTGGTGGCCAAGGCGTAATGTATTGCACCGTTGTCGCTGCGCGCACCAACGAAGTACCTGTCGCCCAGAAATGGCTGTGAGATGATGTATCCGTTAGCCCTTTCTATTTGGTTCAGATGGCGCCGTGAGTCCACTCGTCGAACGAGGAGTGCGTATAGCGTGATGAACGTATCTTGTCTCAAGCATCGGTTGAATCCTAGGGCATTCGTTTTCGGAGGGAAGCACGCGCTCGTTGCAGCGAACAGAGCGGAACAATCCGCAGCATCTGATCGGGCTTGCAAAGCACGTTTACTACAACGTGGCTGGACGCTGCATACCGCAGTCGCCACTGATCGATTATGAAGTGGGTGGTCGACTGCAGCAGAGTCTTTCAGGTCAGCAAGCAATCGCAGCGTTGGCGTTACTGCACGAACCTCGACGCACTCTCCTCTTGGGTGTCGTGAGACGAGCGAGCGATCAACCTCGCCCTTACGAACGTTGGAGCGCTGCATCCTTCTGCCTCTTTCATGCCATGGCTTCCACTGTCGTCGCCACCGCCGTACGCGAGCTATACGAGTGGCACGTGCTAGTCTACCAGTCGCAACGGCAACAACCGGTGTCGGCTACAGCGACCGCATGACACCATTTTAGCTGGTGTACACGAGGGGTCGTCGACCTGCTCTCCTCTTGGTGAATGCAATGGAAGGCAAGCGCGTAGTGTGAGTCACAGGGAAATGTCAGCGGCTGTGGTGCCCCGGTACAGCCGCCATGTCCCACTCTACGGCCAATCAACCTCCGACTGACGCATGCCACCCGCTGGCACCAACGCGTCGTCGCCGATCACTGCACGACGATACACTTTGACTGGGCCGCGCTCTCTCGATTACTTTTCATTTCACCAGCTGCACCGAATGCCCGTCTCGTCGCCCGAAGGTCGCGCCGCCGTCCTCGAGAAGGCGGCCCATGGCATCCAAGAACTCATCAACTGGGCGCAGCAGACGACGCCAGGCGGCAAGTTCCTTCCCAAAACAACCAACTGGACCTTTGAGGCCTGCCGCTTCGAACTCGACCTCGGCGGGGTTGGCACCTTTGACGAGCTCATCCAGCTCTACAAGGACCCGAGCGACACGGCTGCGACGCTCAACTACGTCCACGTCGACAAGTCGCAAGAGCTCTTCCCGCTGAACGCACCGGGCATGGACATCTCGCTGCGCTGGGGCTTCTTCCGCGCGCCGCTGCCCTTCATGCGCGACCGTAGCGTCACGTACATCGAGTACACCAAGGAGTTTACGGACCGGTTTGGCCGCCGCGGGTTCGCGCGCTACATCCGGTCGCACGCGCTCGGCGCTGTCGACACGCGCTTCGTGCACTCGGAGATTCGATCGTGGGGCGTCGTCATCGTCGAGACGGCCACACCCAACATGCTCCACGTGAGCAGTACGGTCGACATTGACTGGCACGGCAACATGCCAACGTGGGTTGCCACCATGATGACGTCCCGGCGCGCGCAGAGCATCAAGTCGCTCGCGACTGTCCTCCGGACCTCCAAGAAGCTGGCGCTCAAGCGCTGCGGCATCTGCTTAACCAAACCGTCGACGTGGAAGAAGCAGTCGGCGCTCGTGACGTGCTACGACTGCGACAAGCTCGTGTGCGTCGAGTGTCGATCGATCCACTCGCATGCGCCGGGCGTCTCGAGTTGCTGGGGCTGCGTGAGCCACAAGACCAAGTTGCACCTCCAGGACAAGAGCATCCGGAGCAAGTCGGCAACCACTGGTGACTCGGAGACGCCGCCGCCATCGTGTATGCACAAGTCGCCGCCGGCGCGCTTCTCGCAGTCCACCGCCGAGTGGTACACGGAAGAGCGGCCCACGAACGACGACGTCGACCTCTCATACCTCCCCACGTTCCACCGCCACACCACCTCCGCATCCTAGTCTGTTAAATCTACACCGTGTGAATACTGTTTGTGCTTTTTCCTTTCACTATACGATGCATCAAGATCGTAGTTGTTGATACGTAGGATAAGATCGCAGTCTACGCACCAGAATGAGTACGATAGTGTCCCGTGGAGAGGGCTAGGGTACGTTGGCGGGGGAGCTGCTCAAGAGCTGCAAATGCTGGCGTCATGGACAGGGATAGAACTGTCCTGCGTTCATGAGTTGCGCCATGAAGCCAAGCGGCGGGCGGTCTCAATTTCGAGTTGCGCCATGCTGCGCCGTGATGGGGCGTGCCTCTGCACCGCACCATACGTCGTCGCATCATTGATCGATCCATCAAAACGATCGGGACAAGCCGATTCGAAGCCACCGGCTGGGCAACAGAGCAAGCAATCGTGTGGCTTGGGCTAAGATCTTGGCCGGTTTCTGATCCACAAGGCACAGCTGGGATCAGTGATCGATCTGTGATAGCGGTAGAAGATGCGGTGGCTCCCCCAACAGGCCCTGCAGGGCGACGGCGAGTAACCTGTGCCCACCTCGCGAATCATGGCGACTACGATCGCGTGAACACGCCCCGCAGCGTGGCTCCGTCTGAACTTGAAACGCAAACATAACGCGATGGTCCCACGCTGGCCGCCGACCACACGGCTGACGGGACCGTGGCACCCAAGAGAGTTCTCGGTATCTATTTGCCACCACGATATGCTAGCATTTCTTGGCACTGACGCCAGCGCGGCGCAGCTCCGACGAGACCCACGGCGCTCCAACGAGGTCAAGGATCTGCGTACCGCGACTGGCCTCTTGAGTTATCGTCTGGTGTGCGTCCGACCTGTGGCCGGATTGTTCCGACGCAGAGCCGGAAGCCAGGTGGTGTGTCACCTTGATGGGCGCCACCGCCGGCTTCGTCGCCTTCATCGCATACGAATCAACGAGTTGATATTGCATTCTCTCAAACTCAATAATGGAAAAGAGCCGGGAGAGTAAAAACGTCTCAAAAGCGACATTGAAAATCAAAAACGATGAAAAACAGCTGCTGTACCGTGCGTGTGGCACGCTTTTTCAGTTTGCATTTTGCCGCCGTCCACCCACGCAGCATGCCCCAACACAACACACTCGACCCGGCCGAGCGGCTCGCGATCCTCCACAAGGCGTCCGGTGGCATCCAAGATCTCATCAACTGGGCGCAGCAGAACGCCCAAGGCAAGATGCTTCCCAAGACAACCAACTGGACCTTTGAGGCCTGCCGCATCGAGCTCGACCTCGACGACGCCGGCACGTTTGACGATGTGATTCGCATGTACCAGAACCCTGGCGACGCCGCCGCCGCCATGCACTACCTGCACGTCGACAAGTCCCAAGTGCTCTTCCCGCTCGAGGCCGACGGCATGGACATCTCGCTCCGCCTCGGCATCTTCAAGGCGCCGTTCCCGTTCATGCGCGAGCGCAGCGCTACGTACATTGAGTACACGAAGGAGTTTACGGACGAGCACGGCCGGCGTGGCTTTGCGCGCTACATCCGGTCGCACGCGCTCGGGTCGCTCCACACGTGCTACGTGCGCGCCAACATTCGGTCGTGGGGCGTCGTCTTCGTCGAGACCGCGGACCCCAACGTTCTCCACGTGAGCAGCACGGTCGACATTGACTGGAACGGTAACATGGCGGCGTGGGTTGCCACCATGATGACGTCGCGGCGCGCGCAGAGCATCAAGCAGCTGCCGTCGGCGCTGCGTCTCGCCAAGAAGCTCGCGACCAAGCACTGCGGTGTGTGTCGCTCCAAGCCCGGCTTGTTTAGCGGTGCGCTCACCGAGTGCACGGACTGTGCTAAGCTCGTGTGCTCGTCCTGCATGTCGGTGCACAAGACGAGCGAGAATGGCGCGGCGTGCTGGGGCTGCATCCGGCACAAATCGAGCCTCCTCCTCCGGGGGACCGACGACGGTAAGACGGTCCTCACGTCCTACGACGCACCGCCGTCGCCACAGTCGTGCGACCACAAGAGCCACAGCCACCTTGTTGACAAGATGGGGTGGGCGTCACCGCAGAACCAAGGAGGGGCCCACCATGCCAAGGAGGTGTTGGTCGACCTCTCGTACCTCCCGCCGACGCGCACCAAGACGCTGCCTGCGTAGTTGTTGAACGTGAATATGTGTATTTATAACAGGACAAAAGTGTTTAAACACGACCAAGTGTTTTTTTATAGTCGATTTTAGAGCATCTCTTGTCTGCCGCTGCTAATCACAGGTGTTTGTACAGTGTACGACGAGCGGGTCGCAGTGGCAGGAAACGACCGATGGAAGACCACAAGGTCCACGATTACTCTGTCCGAGGCCCACGGTTGATGGCTACAGCGTCGTTTGCGTCCGAATCTCGCTACCGCCAGAACCGGTAGCACTAAACCGCGGCGCTGGACGATGCACGATGAATGCCCCCGACGTCAAGCACTGACTCGTTCCTGAAGCGTGGACATACGGGCGGACTGCACGCTGCTTCAAGGCACCCAAGTCCACCGCCGGAACGCAGCATAACGACGCATGTCGCATCTCCTTCGACTCGCTCATCTCGACGCGATGAAAAGACCAAGCAAAAATAGGGGACGATCGCTGGACATATCGACTTGCTACTAACCTACTAGGAGTAGTACTAGAACCACGGAACGGCGTCGGCGTGCACGGCAGACGAATCTCGGCCGTCCATGCCACTGGGCATATCCAACTCTTGGGCTGATTACCACAGTGAGGAAATACTCAACACCGCCGAAGGCAACGGAAGTCAACGCACACGCGTCGGCGTCCAATCGGTGGACGCGTCGTGAGTCACGCAGGAATGCGTGCGACGTCTACAGTCCTCGCGGTGATCACGGCCCAGCATCTCGACACTGCATATTCTGATATCATAGTAATCGAGGGTTAGTTGGCGAGCTCGACTGGCGACAGCGGAACGAGTATCTACCACCACCTTGCAACTCGGACGCAAGCAAAGCAGCTTGACAGGCGAGCGCGGCTGCGATAATACTCGCGCCAGCCAACATCGCATGACTGGTCGACGCACCCAAAGTGGATCGCGCTATCCCACGCTCGAGCGCCAGACACTTTTCTTTTTGCGCCGGTTGAGACCATGCCGCTCCTGCAGTCGAATGACCACGCTGACATCCTCGCAACGGCGTCCGCGGGCATGGCTGACCTCCTTGCGTGGGCCAAGCCCGAGGGGTCGCTCCACTCGGCGGCCACCAACTGGGCGTTCGAGGCGTGCCGATACGAGCTGTCGCTCGATGGCAGCGGCACGTTCGACGATGTTGTCAAGCTCTACAAGTCGCCCAACGATGTGGCCGCCGCACTCCACCACGTCCACGTCGACAAGTCCCAGGTGCTCTACACGTTTACGGCCAGCAGCATGGACATTGCACTGCGCTGGGGCGTCTTCCGATCGCCGTTTCCGCTGATGCGCGACCGGAGCGCCACGTACATCGAGCACACCAAGGAGTTTGCTACTGCAAGCGGCCTCCGCGGCTTTGCACGCTTGATCAAGTCGCACGCGATCGGCCGCGTCGACGACGCCAACTACGTCCGCGCCAACATTCGGTCATGGGGTGTCGTTGTCATGGAGACACCGGACCCAAATGTGCTCCACGTGAGCAGTACGGTCGACATTGACTGGCACGGCAGCACGCCAACGTGGGTCGCGACCTTGATGACGTCCCGGCGCGCGCAGAGCATCAAGGCGCTCGCGACTGTCCTCCGGACTTCCAAGAAGATGGCGCTCAAGCATTGCTCCGTGTGCACCAACAAGTCGCGCGCCTTCAACCGGTTCTCGCAGCTCGTGCCGTGCACAGACTGCACCAAGCCCGTGTGCTCGACGTGCCGGTCGATGCCGAACCGAGGCGCGACATGCTGCTGGGGCTGTGTCAAGAACAAGGTCGTCGTGCGCCGTCTCTCAACTGCGGGCTTGACACGGCGCGTCGACGCATCGTCAACCCATCCTAGTACACCCGAGACGACGCTGGGGTGGTATACGCCCAAGCACACTGCCACCGTGGACGAGTCGATTTACACGCAGTCGATCGAGGTGTAGCATTTTGCGTCTTGCACTAACTATGTTTTCGATAAAAATGGAGAATTTTGTACTTGTACGATTCCAGTGGTTTGTGGCAATAGCATGCTTGCGTACGACTCGACGACTTGGCGAAAAGATGATGCGAGAACGTGACCTCTGGTGGACGACGCGAGGCAGCTACGCGAGGCAAGGCAAAGGAAGCATCCACACGGCTCTTCGGAGATTCTTCGATGCCAGCTGTTTCAACCCTAAACTCAGACAGCCAGAAAACTGATTAAGAAGCGTACGGTCCGCGCACGCCGACTCGAAAAGCGATTCGTCGATCGGCAAAAAGACTTTTCTATTCTCAGTTGCTCGAATGGAAAGGAGGTTGAAGAAATGCAGCGACTCCGATGTACGCCGGATATTCAGCCACGTACCACGCACCAGAATCCTGGATTTATGCCAAATTTCTGAAATTTTCACCATTTCTTGCGAACCACTTGCGCCACTTGCGGAACATGCGTCGTCCAATAGGTGCTTCTACCAACGAATTCACAAGTCCGAGCGCAGTTGGTAGAGTGTTTGACTGTAGCTGGGTACTCGTATACGAATTCACACAGTGCGTTGACGGTGGGGAGCACGCAGCCATTGCCGACACCAACGCCGTGGGCGCTAATACTTCCTGGTTGTTCAAGATCGTCGAGTCCGATGTTTCGTACCATACTGACTATAGTAGGAACCCTACAAAGACCTTCCTCAAAGAAAATTTGGCTCCAGGATCGTCAATAGGGCTCATTTCAAATCATATTCTGCTTTTGAACCGGACGTCCGTGGCCTCACGTTTGGGTGGTAAACAGACGCAACTAGAGAAAAACATGTGGCAGAGAGGCGGGCGTGCGCCATCCCTGGCGACTGTGGGGAATTAAGAGGACAAACGTGCGGTCAGCTTGACGCGACATGCAGCCACGCGTCCCAGATGTCGCCGACTGCCATGTGATCACGTCGCAATCTTTTTCAGGGCGGTCCTCTTCTTTTGCACTCGAGCTACACGATCGATTCGCTCTGGCGCGCTATAAGAACCTACGATGGGCTAGACTGGCGTAGCGAGACAGGTCATGTTACTTGCGTGAGGGGCGACGGCGACTGTAGGACGAAGGATGCTGTGTCGCACCGGGTGTGCATCGACCTGCGAAGGTGTGCAAGAACGGGCCGAACCACGCACGTTGGTCACTCCTTAGCTGTATCTAACTCGCATTGCAGTTGCCGAGGAAGACGCCTGCTTCCCAAGTCCGCGGGTGTTGCATACCGCACACAGGCAGCATCACGTGGCGCTGGCGTCAACGGTACGAAACCGAGCTTGGACCAGTCAATGACACGCACTTTTCAATTTCCATGACTCCGCTCAGCAGCTCGACGGAAGCGCGCGCCGAGATTCTCGCAGCAGCCGCAAATGGCCTCGACAACCTCATTCTCTGGTCCAGTCTCGCGGGCGCAGCGACACCCAAGGCAGCCAACGACACGGTCGAAGCTTGCCGCCTTGAGCTCGACTTGGGCGCCGATGGCACCTTTGACGACGCAGTACGATTGTACAAACTGCCCAACGACCCCGCCGCTGCGCTTCACGGTCTTCACGTTGACAAGTCCCAGCCATTGTACCAACTCCAGGCTGACGGCATGAACATCTCGCTGCGCTGGGGCATCTTCAAGGCGCCGTTTCCGTTCATGCGCGACCGGTGCGCCACGTACATCGAGTGCACCAAGGAGTTTACGGAGGCGAGCGGTCGCCGCGGGTTTGCTCGGTACCTCCGGTCGCACGCCACCGGTGGACTCCACGGCAGCAACGTGCCCGTCGACATTCGGTCGTGGGGCGTTGTGCTTCTCGAAACAGCCAGTCCCAGTGTTCTTCACGTGAGCAGCAGGGTCGACATTGACTGGAGCAGCCACACGCCCACTTGGGTCGCGACCATGATGACGTCCCGACGGGCGCAGAGCGTCAAGCAGTTGCCGTCGGCGCTGCGGCTCGCCAAGAAGCTCACCCAGGCACGGTGCGCGATCTGCCTCAACAAGCCGTTCTTTCTTTCGCGCGAGTCGCAGCTCGCGCCGTGTTGCGACTGCGCAAGGCCCGTGTGTTGCAACTGTCGGGCGCTCGGTGCCGGTGACGGCCAAGCCACGAGCTGCTGGGCATGCGTGAGCGCCAAGGCCAAGGTCAAGCGCCCCGCGCCCCGACCCCACAGCAAATCCATCGCTATGCTCGACAAGACACCGCAGACGTGCCGGCGCAAGACGCCAGTGACCACCGCGACGTCTGGCTTGTACACACCGCAGAACCACCGCCGCCAGAAAGAACCGCCGTTAGACTTATCGTACCTTCCGCCACTGTAGTATCGTAGAAAGCACGAGACCACGAATTGAACGACGACTTGTTCTACGTTAGATGCACCTAGCCCTCGTTGTTTATATCGATATATGGCTTTAAGTCTAATGAGGTCACGAGGAGAGCAAACGTGACGTAGGAAGGTCCCGCGTGCCCTCTGACTCGGTGGTTACAGGACGAACCGAGTGGTATCGACGATAGCACTCGAGAACACCGAGCATACAAACTGCGGTAGCCAACGAGACGATGTACATGTGTTGTGCCCAGCGGGGTGCTGCATTGGCGGCAACGACAATAGGTACTTGACACAGAGCGACGAGGGCGCAGAGGGAGTAGAGCGCACCGAGAAGCGATCCAAGACTCGCCTCGCCAAAGGTCTCGGCTCCAAACGCGGCGACCGTCGAATACAGAAAGCCTCGAAAAATGGTAAAGAGCACAAACGTAATGGGCTGCAGCTCTAGCGACGGCACCAGTAGGAACGCGTGGTAGCCCACGCAGAGCAGCGACGTGCTGAACATTGCGCCGAGCACACTGTACTTGCGCACAACAGCGTGCAAGAGCGGCACCGCCAGAAACCCAACCGGAAGGACCCACCCAAACGCGCGCGTGTAGACTAGACGTTGGTCTCCGTCAACCTAGACATATTCGCCATAAATCTCGTATATCAAAAAGAAAACTTACCGCAAGCATGCGATTGACGGTTCCGAAAAAGATGGCCGACTGCAGGTTGTGCACGCTCGCAAAGACGGCGAGGAAGCCAAAGGGCAGCGAGATAAGTTGTGTCGTCCACGAAATGGCGAGCCTCTTCTCTTCCTTGACCTCCTTCGTGCCTCGGTGGAGGTGCCAGCAGATCGCTACCAGTGGGTACACGGCCAGAGCAAGCCCCGCGTAGACAAGGAGCAGCGTCTGCCGCGACAAACCGAGCGCGGTATGCAGCGCGTAGAGCACCGAGGGCATGACGGCGCTCGCGTCAAAGAGGCAGTTGGCTGCGGCGAGGACGAGCGTTTGCCAGGGGAGGTGCACGAACCCGGCTTGGAACGACGTGAGCAGCGTGAGCGTACCGCCAACGCCAATGAGGCAGTAGCCTTCGATGAAGGCATCGAACGTCACCGAGTCCGAGACGGCCATGAGCGCAAAACCCACAGCCGAAAATGCACCCGCGACAAGACTCGTGGCGACGGGCCCCGCCTTGTCAAGAAAAAGGCCGGCGGGGAACGAGCTCAGTGTGGTTGTAAACTGTGCGAGACCGTAAATGAGTGCGAGCTGCGACTCTTGCGCAGCGCAGCGCACCGAAGGACTCTCGCAGCGGTCGTGGTACTGGTCTTCATCAATGAGGAAGAGCTGCATGGACGCCCAGCCCGAGATGAACCCGGAGAAGAGGAGGTTGGCGCCGAGCACGAGCAGCACGAGCAGATTGGACAGCATAGGTAGCGGGTGCTCTCTGTCCTAAGTGAGTAGTCGTTATGAGGCTGGTGCTGTAGAGAGCACGGACAGATGATAGCAAGTGGTAGGCGCCTCGCTCGGCGGCGCCAAAGGTCATTTTGGCGTTTCAGTAGGTAAAGTTCCACGAGATAGCCCAAATGCGATGCGATGCGCAGGTTGATGAGCTTGTTTTCTGTTTCTATAGACTTAGTAAAAGGAAAGAAATGTCAGTCGTTCGCCTCGCATCATGCCCAGCGGCGAGAAAGTGTAGGAAAAGTACAATGGATCTACAACCGTTCATGACGTGGCGCGCTCTGAGTGCAGAACGGAAGGAATGCCTTGTTGAACAGCGCTGCTGCGGTTTACCCGAAAATCTTTGGTGATCAAAAGCAAGGGTATAAATCATCTCTTATATACCCTTGACAAAAGGAGAGCGCCGGACGCCAGTAGAGGATGCCCTGTGTGCCAACTCGGCGGAACAACGTCGGGTCAACGATCGCAGAGAGGCTGCTGTGTGTTGTTCGTCGTCGTCTACCAGACATGGTTTGCAGCATTACGCACCGTATAATTTGTGTTGATGCGCTCTGTTGATGGATCAACACGACGTACACACCATGGCACGTGCGCATGTTGCGACGCCGGTCCCTTCAATCACGTCAACTTGGCCGTACAAGATGATGTGATCTCAGCGCTGTGTCGCAGTGTACCCAGCAGTGCTCTCCGAGAATACGGGTCGCATTGGCCATCGCCGCAGCGGCGGCGTTGCCGTGCCTCCTGAAAAAGACCGCGGACGTCCAACCTGCTGGTGATTGGCCTATCACACTTTGCCTTCGAACTTCGCTTTTTAAAGCCTCTAGTTGCACGCACGCTTAGCCTCTCCGATATCTTTCCAGACTTCAAAAATAAGCATACAATGGCGTGCATTTAGTCTTGCAACTTCAAGGTCGAACTTCGATAGCAGGGATGCCATCGGCCTTCATACTCGTTCGCGATGGCGCGGTCCGTTGTCGTCGCGCAGGTTCTCTTCGTGCTTCTCTCGGACATTCTCTTCTCGGGCGTCATCTATGGCTGGGCGCCGCTCGCGCTCATGCTCCAAGAAGAGGACCAGTACGGCGAGCTCTGCCACGGCGCGCGCGACGGCGCCCGCTGCAGCGACCAGGACACGCAGCTCAACCTTGTCTACGCGGTCGCCACGTTCCTCTCGTCCATGATCTCGCTGCCCGTGGGGATGCTCATGGACCGCATCGGTCCTAAATACACGATCCTCGTTGCGGGTGTGCTGCAAACCACGGGCCTCTTCTTCCTTGGCGCCGCCGACTCCAAGACGCTGGACGTGTTTGTGCCAGCGTACGCGACGCTCGCGGTCGGCGGCGGCATGACGCTCATGGGCTCCTTCTCTTCGAGCTTCCTCGTGCCCGAGTACCAGACCGTGATCCTCGCAGCCGTCAGCTGTGCGTTTGACGGCAGCAGCGCCGTCATGCTCGGCCTCTACTACCTCCACGAGTCGCTCGGCTGGTCGCGCCACGCCATCTTCACGGGCTACGCCGTGCTCTGCCTCATCGTCTACGCCTGCCTCGTCGGGCTCTGGCACGTGAACGAGCACCTGCTCGTCGAGGCGTCGCCGACGGAGGGTGAGAGCAAACGACTCATTCCCGCTAGCCCGAGCGCAGCTGTCAGCTTCTCTCCACCTTGCACCTCCTGACGTTTCTCTGGTGCTGTAGGCAACGACGATCTGGGACCACCTCAAGTCGTTCGAGTTTGTGTACCTTCTCATCTTTACAAGCATCCACCTCTTCCGCTCCAACCTGTACATTGGCACGACCAACAACGTCCTCGAGGTTCAGAGATGCCATTTGTACAATGCGACAATTTTTTCGACTAGATTTACGGCGACGAAAGCGATGGCCATGTCTTCACCAAGATTTTTGGGTTCATATTGCCCCTCGGATTCCTCTTCGTGCCAATCATCAACCACGTGGTCGAAGACCGGGGCATGCCGATGGCCATGTACGTGACTGTCGGCCTTGGCCTCCTCTACAACGCACTCGCCCTTGTGCCGTCGCTACCGCTGCAAGTCCTTACGTTCAGTGTCTTTACCGGCTTCCGCGCCTTTCTGTATACGGTCATCACGGCGTTTGCGGCCAAGATGTTTGGACTCACGTTCATGGGCACGCTTGTCGGCTTCATCTATACCTCGGGTTCGCTCGTGAGTTTGCTGCAGATCCCCGCGGTCGCCTACGCCAACGCCCGCCACGACTACTCGCACGTGTACATTGGCACGCTCGTGCTCGGCGCCGTCTTGGTGCCTCTCACCGAGCAGTACCGGCAGCGTGCGCTCTTGGCCGCATCGAGCAGCGCTGTCGTCGAGCCCTAGTTTGCTTACACCAGCTCGATCGATAGAAGAATGGACACGAGTTTCAATTGCTCCGTTTTGTCTTGAAGCACTCGTCTTACTCTGCGACCTCAGTCTCTAGTCATCTACCTCCGAGTACGCAGCTCAAGGGGTGCCGTTTGTATACCTTTGATGCCAGAAGGTCAACCCAACTATTGATGGGCACTGACTAGTACGACCACAAGGTGCCCTTCATTGACGAGCGGCCTAGTAGTAGTAGTGACACATTATACTAGATCTTATTGATGGATAGGCATCAATAAGATCTAGTATAATGTGTCACTACTAGTACAGCAAAGCACAGCGTCGAGTTGGCAGTCCCGCCACTGCGACGACGTAGTTGGGACTGGTGATTGCACTGTCGGACGAAAACCTCTGAAAACGCATACGCAGTAGCCACGACTTCGGACAAGATCGGATATCCAACGGCAACGTGAGCCATGGAGGTCATACTGGACAACCCGCTCCTCGTCGCCCGCCCCGCCGTACGTTGCCTCGACAGACTTGCTTGCGTCCCTCGCTCATGCATCTTGCGCTTGTAGAAGGCAGGCAATCGAGTCGCGTGGGCGCTCGTGGGTCTCGTGCTGCTGGCCAACTTGCTCTTCTCGGGTTTTATCTACGGCTGGTCGTCGCTGCTGCTCTTTCTCCTTGAAGAGCGTCAGTACAATGAACTCTGCGAGCCATCTGAGCGAACGTGTCCGGCCCAAGAGAACCGCTTGAACCTCATCTACGGCGTCGCCCAGTTCGTCGCGACCTTGAGCTCACTCCCGGTTGGCGTGATCCTCGATACCATTGGCGCACCGAGTATGACGGCCATCGGCGGTCTTTGCACGACACTGGGCTTCACACTACTCGCGGTCGCCGACTCGCGCGTGTTTGATGTGTTTGTACCAGCGTACACGCTCCTCGGTGTCGGCGGTATCGCGACACTGCTCACCTCATTTCGCGCAGGCTTTGTCCTCCTTCGGTGGCAGACGGCCATCTTGGCCGGCGTCAACTGCCTCTACGACGCCTCGGCGGTCATGCCATCGCTGCTCTTCCTCCTCCACGAGTCGTACGGCTTCTCGCGCCGCACGCTCCTTCTCGGATGCGCCTGCCTCGCTGCGTCAACCTACGCGCTGCTGCTGGTGTTGTGGTCGCGCCACACGCGGAATCTCCGCGCCGACGCCTACGCAGCGGTGCCCAGCGACGCCGAGGCTGATGCACCGACGACGATATCTCTCGGCGCTCAAATCCGAACGTTTGAGTTTCGCTACCTCCTGCTCTTTGCTGGTGTCCATATCTTCCGCGCCGCCTTCTTCTTTGGCACCATTGACGAGACGCTGGCGGTACGATATGGCGCATCGTCCTTTGTAAGCTATGGATGCATATGTGTCCGTAGGTCTTTGGTGACGCCTCGTACGTGTACACCAAGGCGTTTGGCTGGATCCTTCCCGCGGGCTTTGTGTTTGTTCCGGTCATCAACGGCGTCGTCGAAGCGCGCGGCGTGGCGGCCTCCATGCACCTCACGACGGCCCTCGGTGTGCTCAGTAACGCGCTCGCGATGGTTCCTATCCTGGCGCTGCAGCCTGCCACGTTTGTGCTCTTTACGGGCTTCCGCGCGTTCCTCTACTCGAACGTGGCGACGTGCGCGGCCAGAACCTTTGGCGCCGCGCATCTCGGGACGCTCATGGGCGCCATCTACACGTGCAGCGCGCTCTTTGCATTTTTGGAGATTCCGGCGGCCGCCGTCGCGCTGGCGAGTGCGGCCGGTCGCATTGGCATGTACAGCGCGTCGCTGGCGCTGGGTTTGCTCCTCGTGCCTGTGACGGAAGTGTACCGCAAGCGTCAGCTACGTGCTTGATCCACCGTCCCCTTGTCGCATGTAAAACCAAGGTTTCTCCGCGTAGTTTGGTTGAGTGATAGGTGAGTTGGTCTTCCCAGCACGGTAGATATGTACTAGAGGTAGGAGTATGCATGCTCAGGTGGACGTGACGATTGGACAGTGTATAGTACCCTCCTCATTCCTGGCTCTGAGAGCTGCACGGAGTTTTTTGTAAAAGCGTCGTCAAATTAGGTAAAGGTTACGCTGTAAAATCTCCAATGCGGATGCAAGCGCAAGTCTGGCTTTCATTATTACAACGGATCCGGATGGTAATGCCACGTACGACGGCGACGCAGAGCAGCCTAGCGTCGTATCCGCAGCCGACGCATTCCAGCTGCAGCTACGTTCGCCGGTGCCTCTTCGAAGGCTGCACACTCGACACGTGCGCGACCTTGTGCGCTCGCCACGCTGCCATCTCGGCCGAGTGCATCGTGCCAGGCTGCACCAAGTGGACGCACCGCAACGACCTTTGCCGCCGCCACCGCCAAACATACATGTAATACCGCTGCAGACAATGTACATGTTGTCGCGACTAGAATGACTCACGAGACATAATCGAGGCTGTCGTACTGGTATGGGAATACCCTTATCGATGGGCGCAACGAGCAGAACGCATATGCTGACAACGGACCTCTCACAGTCATTAGTGTGGTGCATGGTGAGAGAGCCTGGGTGTCGGAAACCCGAACCGAGCTTCGTTCGACCAAGAACATGGCGATCTTGGCGGTTGAAGCCGCGATCATCCGCATACGCGACATTATCCGGTTCCGGATACGTATCCGGAGACGCGTTTGGCGCGATCTTTGCATTTCAGTTTCGGCGGGGAGACGAGCAAGCGCATGGAGGACCTCGTGACGTACGCCTGCAGCGGTCGGCTCCCGCTGCCTGGTGGCGCGCTCATGCGCCATGCTCGGTGGGAAGACGTCGGCGCCATGAACATGTCGCCGAGCAAGCTCAGCAAGCTCGGGCAGACGCTCGTGCGCCAGCTGCGCGCCGGGGACGACGACCTGACGGCGCTGCTTTGGGTCTGGACATGCACCCTCATCGCCAAGAGCTTCCTCTGCCCGACGAAGACCGAGTTTCATGCGTGGTACGCGTCCGTCGTAGTCGCAGCGCCGACCTTGGACCTTCCGCCGACGCTCTGCGACCTCGTGGACACGACGACCCTCATGCGTGGCCTTTTTCTCGGAATTACCAACGTCTGCCCCATGACGGCCAAGATGAAGCAGGCGTCTCGCGCGATATGCACCAAGTACGATGTGACGCTTGACGTCGTACTCGCCAACTGGGAGAAGCAAGCCGCAATCGACCGGAAGCTCGACGTGTGCATGCTTGTGCTCGACGATGCCTCGAGTCGAGCGCAGATCGATCTCTTCCTCAAGCTTCTGCGACGGTCGAGGGACGATGCCCAGTGGTCGCTGCTACTCTTGAAGCTTCTGGAGCCCCGACCGGCGTTCGCACTCGCTCTACTACCAGAGGTCGCGACCTTCTTGGACACAGCCAAGCCGTCAAAAGCCACCCGAAAGCTCGTGCTGGACTGTATGGGAATCGTCGCAGCTTCGTACTTTCGTCACGAGCTCGTTTGCAAGGCGCTTGGCATGCTCCTTCGAGATCCAGACGCGACCTTGCGTCTCGCGGCGCTCAAGCTCACGGTGCAGCTCCGAAGCGCCCATCGTGAAGCCTTTGTCATCGATCACGACTGCGATTTGCTGCAGGTGCTCGTCACAGCCATCGTCCACGACAGCGCGAAAAGCGTAGTCGTCGCTTCGGTGCACGCCCTTTCAACTCTTCTGCACGAAGGACCAGCTTCCGAGGTCGTCGTTGATTTGCCTGCGTACGTCTGTGCACTACCTGTACAACGTCTAATGTTCGCATATAAAATAGGGAGCTTGCTGGCCATTTGATCTCAACGTTCATTTTGGTCAAGGCAGTGCCGACGGCCGAGGTGACGCACGAGCACGTCACTGCACTTTTGCACGCTTCGTCGCTTCCTATCGACTTGAACACGTTCATGGCGGCGATGGCGGTGGCCGATGTCGATCAAAAGCGTCGGCTCGTCGACATCTATGCTCATCGTCACGGCTTGAGCTCTCTCGAGCCCGCCGCAATCGCGACGTACCTCGACACCATCGTGCACGAGATCGAGCCTTTCAGCTTGAATTTGGACAGTGCCGAGCAGGTTTCGGTGTTTTTGGGCCACGTGGCACCATCAACCGAAGGAGCGCAGCTATGGATCCAAGAGCTCTTGCGGCGATTCGAGGATGCGATCGATCAGTACAATGCACCGAGCTCGGTCGGCGTCATCGTTTTGGCGACGTCGTGGGTTCCGCACATGCATCGACGCGCCGTCGAGCAATGCAATGATGGCGCGCTGCAGGTATATCATGCTAGGACGATACTTGGTTGATGTACTAGTATCCATCTATGTAGCTGCTGCACCAGCTTTTTGGCAGCGAGCGGCCTCGCACGCCGCACGAAGAATACGCGGCCGCTCATGCATTGCAGTTTCTGCTCTCTGCTCGTTGCAAAAGAGACACGTGGTCGTCGGCGCTTGAGGATTTGCTCGCCAACTTGCTTTTTTGCGGGCCCTGCCAGCGGTGCGTACATGTATACTAGTATGTTTTTTCCATGAACTACTAAGAAAAGAGCGTAGGTCCTTGATTCGACTCTGGTATTTGCAACCCCAAGCTCAGGAGCGTGTGTACTATGTCGTTGCCCATGCCCAAGTACTTTGGCCGTGCTCGACCAAATCCATCCTTACTGTGTCCGGATAGGATCTGGCCTTTGATGGCCATGACTTGACACGCGTTCAGAGCTTTGTGCGTCTTCTGGGCGTCGTGGCAACCGAGAACGCGCAATTCATTGTTCGGGAGTGCCCGACACTCATGGAAGCAAGTCCGAGCAGCGAGCCCGACGAGGAGCACTACATGGATGAGTACGAGCTCGAGATGGACCAGAAGCGCGCCATTCAAACTGTTCGCATATGCATCATGAACAATAGCATCGCTCACGTTGCCAAACTTCGTAGGAGAGAGAAAAGACGCTCAACGAAGGTCTACTTGCGGCCTTCTTGCCGCTACTGGAAGTACTACTTGTTCCTGCTGGTATGCACCAACGGATGCAAGGACGAGTAATGGTTTTTTCTAGCTGGCGCAACGTTCTTGCCGCCACAAGCACTGGTTCTCTGCGCACTTGCGTCGCTTGGCGATTTTATGCGTATCCCATCTCTGGCCTTGGGTTCGATTCTCACAAATTCTGTCTGTGTTAGGAGTGTCGCGCGTGATGGCTCAGAGTTCGCTACATAGCGTATAGCGTGGATGTTTATGGTTGCTAAGAAGAGTACAACCCTTGGCTCGTAAAGCTCATCAGCGACTCGTCCAAGCCCGAGCCGCTTCGATCTGCGTGTTTGGGTGCGCCCTTGGACTATTATATGTGTCATCTTCTCATGCTCAAACAGACATTTGGGCCAGTATCCAGCCGACTTTGCATCCCTCGCAAGTCAAGTCAGACGGCATCGACGCGCTCTATTGTCAGCTCGAGCAACTTGATGGCATGGCCCCAAAACTGCTCAAGGTCATGTGTCGGCTCGTTCTCAATGGGCAGCTGCGCAGCGACAAGCTGCGCTCCTTGTCCTTTGCGTTTGTTGCTGGCGATGACGCGATGGAAGCGACGGCGACGGCCTTTTTCCGGTCCTTCTTCCGCTCCAAAGGCAAGGAAACGTGCCAGCGCATTTACGGTACTGTATTTTCCACACCAAAGTGCACTTGATGGACGCAACGACCGGACAGATGTCTTCTTTGCACTGGACAACGTCACTGCGCGTCTGGCGATCATTCGAAAGCTACTGTCGATCGCGACGTCCATCAATGCTCCGGTACGATCTACAGTGACTTACTGCGTCATGCGTGTGGACGTAGCTTGATGGGTTGCATCTTTTGCTCATCAAAGAGTGCGAAGAGCAAGTGCGCCTCGAGAGCGCATCGGAGCTCCTCTCGCTCCTGGCACCCACGGTACCCGCGGCATCGCCCTTCTCGGTGCTACTTGCCTCTAGATGCTGGGCACCACCAAGCTTCTCGATACCCTGGAGCGGTATTATTGCTTCTATTGAACAACATCTATAGCGAGTACTGTAGCGTCCTTCTCCTCCAGCCGACACGCGCCGCGCAGCTACGCTTCCACACGTACCTCGACGCCAGCGCGGCCTTGGTCGCCCGAGGTCCTCGTCACTACGTCTCCTGCATCTCATGCGCCTATCTTAGACCCCTCGTTGCGCGCCAAGGTCAAGCGCGGTCTCGGTCTCCTCTCGGATCCGATTGGCGCCAAATCCATTGCGGCGCCACCACACCTCGAGGCGCTCATTTCCCAGGCGTGGTCGTGAGCGGCTGAAATACAGCCAATCATCGCACGTTCTGCGGTTCACCCGCCAAAACGAGATTAAATTCTCGTTTAAACGTCGGCATACATTTCTCAAGGTAATTAAATACCGCGGTGGCGAAAAGCCCGTTGCGGCCTGTCGATCCCGGCAAGATACTCGCCACACTTGGTTTTGCATTGCGATGCTCTCGATGGCCCCAGCGTCGCCCGTCTCGGTCGCGGCGCCCGCGCTCCGCGGCGCCCACGCGGCCATGCTCTCGGACCTCATGGGCACGCCCCGCAGCGGCCTACCCCACCGCCTCATCGCGCGCTCCGGCCGGCCGCTCGACGTGCTACCGTTCCTCGACGCCATCTTGGCCGACGACGATATGGCCGCGTCCATGGCCAACCACCGCGCCCGCTTCGCCTGTCTCCTCGCAGCCGGCGGATCGCCAGCGCCAGGAACCATGTGACCAGCGCGCTTGCTATTTTATTGTACGACCTGGTACATATTTATCCGCCTCGACCGTCGTCTCCTAACATTAATGTCCATTGGTGTGTGTGACCGTGTGCGGGGGATCGGCGCAGCGCATGACGTGGCAGCCCGTCAAGCTCGTTCAACGACGGCCCAGGAACGGATCAGAAGCGCACGGCGTCCACGCCCACTTCAAGCAACACCATACGACCAAGGTGAGCACAGAAGGCGCGACCCGGTGCAGCGGCCAGTAGTTGGGCAGAGCAAAGACGAGGGGTCCTGAAGGTGCGTGGCTGGCTCGACAAAAGCCAACAGCAACCAACAGCGTCGCATGTTGCTGCAAGTCTTCAACTCATCCTTCGGGCTGCGCGATATCGACAGTGTTCTCCCTCGCACGTGTGGCTTGCTGTGAAACAGCTCTTTCGAGCTCCATGCATGCTGTGCTGCAGTTACTGCTGTGGAGCGGTGAAACCGCTGCCTTGCAACCTTGCTATCTTGCTGTTGGTACCAATTGGCTATTCCTTCGACGATCGAAGCTCGCAATAGCTTCTTGGACCCCACCGAACGTCATTTGTCGATGCTTTTGTCGTAGACAAGTAGACGCCTTCTTGCACTTCAAACTGCACTTCAAGACGACACAAGCCACTTGGGAGCATCCGCATGCAGCAGCATTGGAATTCGCTTCTTCAGTACTCGACTGGCTCTCCTCTCAAAAATAAAGGCGCGGTTGCGTACTGCGATCGCCAGGATGTCGATAGCTTTCAACACCCTCCAGGTAGATTACTTCGGCACATCGTATCTTTTGTTGCTACGCGTGTCCTTTGGCTGCGGCTTTTTCAAGGCGCTGGATTCTTGGATGGGCCGAGGTGTACTCGATTAGGCCAATTGATTGCTCTTCTAGATTTGGCTGCGTGCGTTTTCCGGAGGACTCAGAAATACAGAACGAGACGAAAATTCGAAGCCTCGCTGGCAATGTCGCCGCGCCCGTCATAAATTGATCCACCACCTCGGACTACTGCCATGGACTTTGTCGCGCACCCTGCCCCCATGCGCCCCGCCACAAGGTACAGTCGCGAGCACCTCGTCGCGTGTCGGAAGCTAACGCGGTTCTCACTAGGCGAGCACTATGCTCGGTGACGGCGACGACACCGGTCACCGACACGGAAGGCGGCGACTCGCCATTCGTGTCGATTGATGCACCGTCGCTCAAGACGTTCGCCGCTAAGCGCGCGCTGGACGTGGCCTCGTTCGGCTACAATACGCCCGCGTCGCACTCGATGGGCTGCCACCCACCGCGCCAAGGCGCCCAGAAGCGGCCACGTCCGCTGCGCACTGCCAAGCCGCTCGTGTGGTCCGAAGAGGACGATGACAACGAGCCGTCCCGAGAATGCATCCGCGCTGCACTTACGCACCATCGCCGTGCGTACGTGGCAGCCTACGGGTGCGAGTAGTTGACGCACGCTTTTGTACAGATAGCTATTTATTCCGTGTCCATACTGTTTAACCTTGCGCTGCCTTGGGCTCTTGCTTCCGTCGTCCCAATGGCGATGCATGGCTTCCCGGCTTGCGGTTGAGGAGAGAGAGTGAAGGGGCAGCCTCACGAGGCGTAGTAGCCACGTAGACGGTGATCCTCCAATGGCTAATGGTAGCCATTCAAGGGGCACCGTCTTGGTGATTGTATGGAGGCCACAGGGACAGCTCTGCTGCAAGTCAATAGGCGCGGAAGATCGCTGCGGATTCCACCTTCGTTGACAACCTCTTAGATTCGATATAGCATCGAATCTTGAAAGGCAAATGGACCAATCAGCGGTCGCGCTTGCGCTGGTAATACCCAATCATCACAGGGTGACGACGCTTCCATATTTTCGCCCATCAACGCATTGAAGTTGAGGATTGCTCTTCTTTCCCTCGCGCTCCCAAGAGTACAAACGAAGGCTCTTGATAGCTGTAGCGCGCAACGCCGACGCAGAGAACGACTCGTCCTTGGCTCGAGGCTCCCTGCTCGACAGGATATTCATCGAGTGCTATCTCATCAACTCTCATCCGAGCTTTAAATGCTGAACGAACTCGTTTCCATCAGCTCAAGTTGCATGATGTATCCTTGGCTAATGACGTAGCTGCAAGTGATAGCAGGCGCTAAGAGCCTTCAATGACATCGACAGCAACAGAGAGGACCTTTGGCGACACCACCATGCTCGAAGACACATCGATGGCCCACAAAGTTGTGAAAGCTACTATTTACTCCCGACAAGCATCGGCCCTTGCTTGTGCAAGGGTCGCGGACTTGGACACTGGTACATAAATGACATACAAGTACCGGTGCGTAGGACGTCAACCGCATCAACGAACACGGCCTTGCTTGTATTTCGTCTATGTCTAGCTGCGGAGGCGGCAGCGAAGGTGATCAAAATATACTTAATTCGGGCATACACTTATTCTTCGTCGGCGGCGGCATCCTCCATGTCGTTCTGTTCCTGGGCGAGCTTGTCAATGTCCTCCTGCGTGATGAGGCCGCTCTTGAGCAGCTGCTCCTGCTCGTACTTGGCGTTCTTCTGGGCGCGCTTGGTGTCGCGGCGCACCTTCTTCTTGCTCGCGGCCGGGCGGCCGACCGTCTTCTTGCTGCCGTGCTGCGTGACAAAGACCTTCTTCTGGTTCTTCGCCTCCATGCGCTTCTTCTTGTGGAGCTTCACCTTCTTGAAGTTGTTCTTCTGCACGGAAGCGTCATGCTTGGTCATCTTGGCGCGGGCGTCTTTTCTAAACTGCCAACGATTATCCGTTCGACCAGCGGAGCCCGAACCAATGAAACTCCGTCGCCGCCCACTCAGTTTTCCTACCCGACACTATTTTTAGCCGACGTGTCGGCAATAAAATCCATATGACGGAACCGGTGTTGACGTGGCATCTGCCACGAGACAGCGCCCACGCCTGGGCCCGCGTCGGCGCAACGTCGCTTGGCCCATGCACCTCGCTTGTCGACGCATGCTTCCGCTGCTGCTTCGCTATTGCAGTTTCGTTGCCTTTGTTAGCGATGGCGTCTAGTGGTCGGCGGCCGCAGGTCCCTTGGCTCTTATTTTCGGCACTGCCACCATTGCAATTTGCAGGATGCAGCAAGCGGTCCGGAAGGTGCAGGCGGCCAACCTTCTCGTGTTCGCGCCGCATTGGGGCAGCGCGCACTTGGCGCGCGACGTCTTCCTCCAGAAGGCTCTGGATGCTGGCTTTGATGGCGTCGAGATGTCGCTACCACTCGACGTCGCCGAGCGCACCAAGTGGACGGACGCCATTCGCGCGTCGGGCCTGCACCTCATTGCGCAGCAGTGGGAGACGGTCCTGCACAGCGACTTTGCTGAGCACAAGCGCGCGCTCGCCACGTACCTCGAGAACGCGGTCGCTGCGCGCCCGCGCCTTGTCAACACGCACACGGGCAAGGACTGGTACTCGTTTGCGCAGAACGCCGAGCTGCTCTCACTGGCCGACGAGGTGAGCCACCGCAGTGGCGTGCCCATTGTGCACGAGATCCACCGCAGCCGCTTCAGCGGCCACCCGACGCTTTTGCTGCCGTATTTGGACGCACGCCCCGACCTGCGCCTCAACGCCGACCTCTCGCACTGGTGCGTCGGCTGCGAGTCGCTCCTCGAGGACCAGACGCACGTACTGCAGCGCGTGTTCCCGTTCGTGCAGCACATCCACGCGCGCGTCGGCCACAGCCAAGGGCCGCAGGTCAACGACTTTCGCGCGCCCGAGCACAAGGACGCCCTCGACGCGCACGTCGGTTGGTGGGACGCGATTCTGGCGGCGCAGCAGGCGCGCGGCGAGACGGTGCATACGATCACGCCCGAGTTTGGTCCGACGCCGTACACGCAGACGCTGCCGTACACGAACGCCGCCGTCTCGGACGCCTGGGAGCTCAACGTGGCCATGCTCCACTTCCTCCGCGACCGCTACACGTACCTCCATATACGGCATGTACAGACGAAGCGAAATACGCCCTGTTGATCCTAGTGTGAGTGTGTTCTCTGCCGGCACCTCGAGCATGGTCGTCGCGCAGACGCCAGAAGGCTAGGTTGAGGATCATGGCATGCTAACGAGGCGAACGCGACGATGCGAATGGTCAACGCACAAGTCATTGGTGTGGCGCAGACCACCGCGTCTTCTTGTGTGTCTATCATCTCTACTTCTTCTTGGACGAGCGCTTGCCCGCGCCCTTCTTGGGCGGGCCGCGGCCTTGCTGCTTGGCCGTCGCGTTGACGTCAAAGCGGTACTGGTTGATCTTTTGGTAGTACTCCGAGTAGCCGCCGACGCGCAGATGCAGCGGCTTCTGGAACCAGGACGCGACCTTGTCGCCCTTGAGCTGCTTGCTGATGATCTTGTTGCCCGACTTGGTGTGGTTCTGCGGCAGGCGCTCAAAGATCTTGCGGCTCAGGTCCGCCACTTGCTTGGAGATCGCCGACATCGCGCTGCTTCGTAAATTCCCAATCTCTCGACCAGTCCTTCCGCGGCCAGCAACCTCTACAAGTCGATACCATCCGGATACCCGGAAGAGGTCAGATCGATGCCGGCCCTTGGCCTCAAACCACCGGTAACGTAGCAGCACCTTGTAGATGTGCGCTGCGACGGAGCTTGCACTCAAGTAGCGTCGCACTCCAGCGTCGGTGGAGGGCACGGACGGCCCCGAGATTAAAGCTCGGTCAACGAAGCAATAATCCGCATAAATGCAGCAATTATCTGACTCCTTGGAGGGGTTCGAACGACTGTAGACGTCTCACAAGGTCAGCGCCTCGTCCAGGTCGCGCCAATGTATTGGCGCTAGCAGTGCACACCTCTTGAGCGCATGCCATGTCGCTCGCGGCCTCAGTGGTGCCACAGGAAGGGTCCGGCGGCTGAGCAATAAACCGATCTATTGCCTCTATCCACTCATTTTTTGCAATTTCTATTTTTGTACTTGCTGTTTGTAGGTTGAATAAAACATGGACATAAAATTACTTGGCCAAGATGGTCATTTCGCAACAAGCTCAAAATGTGTCACTCGTGCGTGTGTCAGATCGGGCCGTCGATGCTGGCGTCCGACCTCGCGTGCCTCAAGGACGAGGCGCTCAAGGTCGTCGCGGCCGGCGCCGACTACCTCCACCTCGACGTCATGGACGGCCACTTCGTGCCCAACATTACGTGGGGTGCGCCGGTCATCAAGAGCCTCCGCAAGCACACGACCGCCTTCTTTGACTGCCACATGATGGTCGCCGAGCCGGAAAAGTGGGTCGACGACATCAAGGACGCTGGCGGCGACCAGTTCACCTTCCACCTTGAGTCGACGAGCAACCCGACGGCGCTCATTGCGCAGATCCGCGCCGCGGGTATGAAGGTCGGCGTCGCCATCAAGCCCGGGACTGCCGCCGACGCCGTCCTTCCGTACGTCGACCTCGTTGACATGGTGTTGGTGATGACGGTCGAGCCGGGCTTTGGCGGCCAGAGCTTCATGGCCGACATGATGCCCAAGGTCGCGTTCTTGCGCGAACGCTTCCCGCTCCTCGACATTGAAGTCGACGGCGGCCTCGGGCCATCGACGATCGACGCCGCGGCCAAAGCTGGCGCCAATATGATCGTCGCCGGCAGCTCTGTCTTCCGCGCATCCGATCCCGCAGACGCTATCTTGGCCATGCGCCACAGCGTCGAGCGCCTCGGCAACGGCAAGACCGACGCCGAGCTCACGCGTCGCTAGCAATAGACACTTAGCGACTCCTCAACACGACGCTTCGTTGAAACAAATCGTATACGACCTCGCTCGATCGGCTACATACTAGTCGACTCTCGCATGGGCAGATGAGAGCACAAGTTGGCGCTCCAAGGATTTGCAAACTGAAGCAATATTTAAACACATGAAATGGATTCGTAATTACAAAGGGCTGGGAAACGCCGATGATTTTGGCTGTCGCGCCGCAGTGTACAGGCCGCCGGTGCGATAGAGCGCCGCATTGTCAAAGAAGGTGCCCCAGAAGCGCTCGGTCGTCGGGCAGTTGATGGCAACCCACTTGAGCAGCGCGCTGTAGAAGGCTTGCTCGAGTGCCAGCGTCGCCACCGAGTTGAACGCCGACGGGATCGGCGCCGACGGGAACGTCACATCGACCAGCCGAAGTTTGGCCGACGGGTACAGTTTCTTGAGCTGCGTCCAGACAAGATCGAGCCCCGCCATCGGCTTGGTTGGGTCGTACTTGCCGTCCAAAAACGGTTGGTACGTGACGCCAATGACGTCACAGGCGGATGCGAGCGCCCGCATGGCGGTGGTGCCTGTCAGCCACGTCGCCGCCTTCTGCGCCGTGCCCATGACGGGGTTCACGCCCGTCGCCGCGCGCAACGTTGCGCGCACCGCGACGACCTGCGCCGCGACCTCGGACGGCGCAAAGTTCTCGTTCATGTTGATGTTTTCGTTGCCGACAAGGATCGCGCGGACGTGGCCGCCGTAGCCGCGCACCGCCGAGATCGCCGAGTTGACTTGGCTGCTGTACCACCCCTCGCGCGTCATAAAGACGCCGAGGTACACGTCGAGCTGGGCGGCGGCCAAGTAGGGCGTGATCTCGACGCCGTAAAAATTCGTGTAGACCGTTCGAACGACGTTGAAGTACTTCTTGACGACCGCGAGGTCCTGCGCGATCGCGACACGCAGCGCTGGAAGGTTGTTCGGGTACGCTGCGTTGTGGAACGGATCGTAGTTGGCACCCATGAAAACCGACGTGCAGGGCGCGGGCGTGGCTCTCTCGGGCGTGGGTGTGACTGGCGACACTGTCACGACGGGAAGCACCGGCGCCAGTGTGAACGCGGGCGCCTCGTATTGTGGCGGAAACCCCGCGACCTTTTGCTGCCCGCTGGCCGTGAAGAAGCCAAAGTACTTTTCGAGCTCCTGCGGCTGCGTGCGGTCGTCGGCGCGCAGGTCAAAGAACGTGTACCAGAAGAGCTCGCCGCCCCCTTGCGACGGCTGCCACTGCGAAAGCGCCGTGTAATACGTGATGGCATTGTTCAAACTCGGAACGACGCGGGGTGAGAGCGGCGACGGCGGCCCACCGGTCGAAAACCCGGTTTCCGTCAAGCGCAGCTTGGACGCTGGGTAAATGGCGGCCATTTGGTCCCAGAGCGCGTTGAGGAGCACGGTGGGGTTACTGCTGTCGTAGCTGTTGTCGAAGAACGGGTAGATGTTGACGCCGATAATGTCCGAGTTGTCGGCCAGGTTCTTCATCTCGGTGCGCAGCGACGGGTTGAGCCAGTCGGTGACGCGCTGGACTGTCCCAAGCAGCACGCTGTTGACTTTGCCGTTCGACTGGATCGCAATCTGCGACCGAATGTACGAGATTTGACTGCTAATGTACGAAGCGCTGTACGGGCCGACCGGGATGACGTTTTCGTTGCCGACGAGGATCGCTTTCACGGTCGACGGGTACTTGACGGCGCCTTGAATCGCTGCGTTCACTTGGTCCCCATACCAGGTTTGGTCAGTCATGAAGACGCCGAGGTAGAGCGGAACTTGATTTTTGGCCGCGATCGGCGTCACGTCGACGCCCATGTAGGTCGAGTAGTAGGTGCGCACAACGGCCACGTACTTTTTCATAATCTCAAAGTCTTGGTCCATACCGGCGGCGAGACTACCGTGGGCAACGCCATTGAGCGGGTACGAGTCCAGATGGAACGGCGAGTAGCAAGCGCCGGCGACCACCGACGAGAACACCGCCGACTCGTTCTGGACGGCGTTGAGGTCGGGCAGAATCTTCTTGGACGTGCCGTCGACCGTGTAGAGGCCGTAGGCGTCGACGTCGCCGCTCGGATCGCGCAGTTGGCGGTCGAAGAACGCATAGTAGAAGCCCAGCGCCGCGTACGCCGAGTGCTTGAACGCATTAAAGTACGTGGTCGCGTCCGCAAGCGACGCCGTCGGGTACCCCGTCTCAGTTATCGTGAGCTTCGTGCTCGGGTACAGAGCTTGGAGCAGCGGCCAGTGCCCGTTGATGAGCGCGACCGGATCATCGATATCAAAATTCGCGTCGCGACCGGGAAAGTAGTTGACACCGACAACGTCGACGGCGGCTTCAACCGCCGACATGTTGGCCGAGAGGAGTGGGTTGAGCCAGTCCTCAAGATGCTGCGCCGTGCCAAGCTTGACGTGCGACGCGCTCGTCTCGGACTGCACACGGCTCCGAAGCGCCTCGATGCGGCTAACAAGGTCGGCGGTGGACACCACTTGAAGGCTGTCGCTGCCGACGATGATCGCGTCTACCGTGCTCGGGTGCGTCTGCAGCGCGTCGATCACCGCGTCGACTTGCTTGTCATAGTCGATGGCACCGACATCGAGCCCAAGGTACACGTGCAAGTCGTAGCGCGCGGCGATCGGCGTTATCGCGACGCCGTGGAACGCCGGTCGGTACGTCCGCAGCAGCTGGTAGTGCGGGGCGAGGAGCGCGAGATCGGCGTCGATGCCAAGCGCAATGGCCGTGGCGTTGACTCGGTCACGCGTCGAGAGCGGGTACCCCGGTCGGTGGTCGGGGAAGTACACGACGCCGGGCACGGTCGACTGGGCGGCGGCGACCGCCGTACACAGCGCGAGACAGAGCTGCTTGCGCATGACAAAGCAAATCGCAGAATGGATCTGCCAAGAGAGGCGTCGTCTCCGGTGCCGAACGCGCCGGCACCTTTCTCGAGCCGTTGTCGTCGGAGAAAAGACCAAGTGCGTCGCTTTTCAAAATACGTTAGCTGAATCAGAACTACCTCAATCCATCGGTGTTTTTGCCGACGCAAGTGCGGCGTGGCATCCACGCCGTCGGCGCAGATTCCCTTGGTCGTCGTTACGGCGGGTTGCAAGGGCGATATCTCACCGGGATCATGACGACTGTTGAGACAGCTGTTGAGAGCCGAGATTTCGGCTGGGACAATGAAACCAACGCGTTGGCGACCATTCATTCTGTTTTGGTGAGGAATATCTTTACGTGGTATTCGTAGCCTCGAGTGCAAGCACTACAC